CACGCCTGCAGCCGGGCAGGGGTGTCTGGGGCCTCCTGCGCCCACGACGGCCGCCGAGCACCCCACCCCAAGAAGAGGAGGAGCCTCTCCCGGCCCCGCTGGGAAGAGCTATTTTTAGTCGTAGCGGATCGGGGAGGGAGGGAGCGCCACGTTTAATCCGTCGGGAAAATCTAGGATTCAGGGGAGTGGCTCTCCGACCCTGCTGCGGGCTGGACGCGCTCGGGTCCCCTCCGAACTGCCTGACACCCCCTAGCCTGCTGTCAGCGCTGCCCACCACCCTACCCCGGGGGGCCTTCTGGGTTTTGCCCTGATCCGGCAGACGCTGGGGAGTCCTCCGAGTGCGCCCCAGTCTGGGCGGCCCGCCACCGTCTGTCCACACCCCGGCCTTGGGCCTGCCCTGAGGATCCCGGCTGGGAAGCCACCCCTACACATTGCCTGGGGATTGGGGCAACCCGCACTTGGGGGGACACATGGTCAGTGCAAAGGAATAACACTGGGATGACATAGCAGACAGAAAAAGACAAAAACTGTGGTTCTGCTTATACAAGGTACCCAGAATGTGCAAATTCCTACAAAGTAGGATAGCCAGCTTTATGTTATTTATACTTCACTACTATTTTTGGAAAAAAAAAATTTTTTTTTGAAGAGGTTTTTGCTATAGGGCTCATACACTCACCAGAGAGAAACAGAGACAGAAAGCCAGAAATCACCCCCCAGGGGGAATGGCCACGCTGCAATCCCTTCTCCTCCATTCTCCATTTGGGATCTTGGACAGGCACGCAGACACGCCCCACATGAGTTTAAGCCACCATGGGCGACTACATGGGAGTCCAACTACATAGCTATTTAGCCATCTGCTGGTTGCTGAAAAAAAAAAATTTAAGTGGATGGGGCAGGGACCAGGACCAAGCGGGGGTGTCTGTGAGCCATCTACTGGGTCAGGAATCTTGTTCCTTGACCCTTCTCTGGGCAGGGAAGCCTTTTCATCCCAGGGTCCTCTGTCACTCGCTGTCAGAGACAGAAGAGTCCAGTCTTCCGGGTCGAAGATGCATCCCATTCCACCTGCCCACGCTGTACAGCCCAAGGAAAGTCACTGAACCTCTCTGGCCTTCGATCTTCTCATCTGTAAAATGAGAAACACAAAATCCATCCAGAAGACTACTGTGGAACCGCTGAGCTAACACATTTCTAGACTCAGCTCAGGGCCTGGACGTCAGTGTTGTGTCCTCCTGAGTCCTGGGGACACTGATTCTCTGCTCTTTCCACCGCATCCCCAGCATTTGCAGAAAGATGCTCGGCAGGTACCTCTGTGGCTGCATGCATCATCTCCACCAGCCTAAGCTTCCCCGTGTGTAAATGGGGTGCCTTCCTTTGCAGGCCTGTTCTGAGAACATGGACTTGACACATACCGACTCCACCAAAAACCAACGCCTCCATCTTGAGCTGACCAACATCTCCATAAATGGTCCTCCCACCCTCCCCCTACCAGGCCTCAGTTCAGCACTCAGTACAGGGGAGGATTACCGAGTGCCTGTTATGGGCCATGCTCTGTTCTCGGTCCCAAGGATCCTAGGCACTTACAGAGGACTGAGTCACTTAGCACTGGGAGGTAAACATTTATGTGAATCTTTAAATAGCTCAAGTCTGTAATTGGCTTTTATGAGCTAAGTGGAGGAAGGTATATAGGTACATTGGAACAAGGTAGGGTAGGGAAGAGCAGATACCTGGAAAGGGGAAGGGGCTCTCTCAGAAGCCTGTGGCCAATGACTAGGGTGTAGGTACTGGGGATTTTGATTGATCCAGCTGTGTCTTCAGCACCTGAACTGGTGTTTGGCACACAGAAAGGCTCAATTCATATTTGTTGACTGGATGTATTTATGAATGTCAAAATATGTAGGCCAGCTAGGTGATATAGTGGTTAAGGTGGCTGGATCCCACATAGCCAGCTGAGGAGTTTGAGTCCTGGGCCCAGCAACTTGAAAAACGTGCCAGGTACATGTCACGTATGCCCCAAATCCTGAGAGAATAGAGAAGGGATTGCAGTGTGGTCATCTCCCCTAGGGAGGTGATTTCTCACTTTCTCTCTCTCCCTCATCTCTCTCATTCTTTTGTGGTCTCTCTGTCTGGAGAGCACACATGCCCTACAACAAATTTTTTTAAGAGAGATTTTTGCTATAGGGTATGTGCGCTCCCCGGAGAGACAGAAAGAGACAGACAGAAAGCAAGAAATCACCCCCTAAGGGGGATGGCCACACCACAATCCCTTTTCCTCCATTCTCCTCTCGGGATCTTGGGCACACACACACATGTGCCCAGTGTGAGTTTAAGCCACCAGATCTGGGACTTGAACCATGGTCGGCTACATGGGAGTCCAGTGCCATCTGCTGGTCCCCCCACAGCAAAATTTTTTAAATTAAAAAATAGAAACAAATGTCAAAATCTGGTCTAGAAATCAAGTGTCTTTTCTTCAATTAATGCTCTGATACATTCTGAAATGAATCTTACTGCAGTCAAGAGAGCATGTGGCGAAATAGTTAACATCCATTTTCTCTTACTCCTTCAATTTTCCGGCCTCTCTTGCAGCTACATTCTAGCCAGAGAGCTGTAGGGGGCAGTGTTGTGCAGAACGTGCAGGAAGTCTTCATGAAATAAAGGAGGGACAAGCTTCTCCCCCCTTCACCCTGCTCTCAGGCATCAAAGGCTGGAGAGAGGCGGCCACGCAGACCTTGGACTACAGAGCCTCGAGTGGTGAGCAGAAAGGTGCCAGAAACCAGGGTCCTGCTGACCGTCGTCACCACACCCTCCCTGCACTGCTGCCCTTCACATTCCTGCATGAGAGGGAATAAATGCCTGTGTTTGTCGCCTCGCCTCCGTTCTCAGGGGCTGTTCTATCCTAGACGGAGCTCATCCTAAGTGGCACGCGGAGTCTGCAGCCCCTGCAGAACCGGAGATGGAGCGCAAGTGCGGCCCAGCAGGGAACGTGGCTCCTGCGCTCCAGCCACAACCCCGGGCACTGGCTCTACTTGTTCCCTGGCCCCAGCCCCCGGGTCGCCGAGCCCTCTGGGCCCTGAATAAGGTCCCTGTAAGTCCTGGGGCAGTGCTTGCGGTAGAGGTTCTCCAGCAGCGTGCGGCTCCCTCTCACCACCGCGCGCCCCTCCTGGTTCATGTGGTTCCACAAGTGCAGCGCGTAGGAGTCGTTGAAGCTCGGCTCTGTGTCCCAGACCTCGTAGTAGCGCCTCCACTCCGGGTAGGAGATGGGGTAAAAGCGCTGGGGGTGCAGGAAGGACACGTTGGGACACTGGAGGTCGCGCAGCTCCTGGAAATCTCCAGGTCTACACCACAGCTTTAACATCCTCGTCAGCAGAGCCGGTCCTTGTTGGCCCCAGATGTCTGAATTGTAGTGCTCCACGAAGTTCTCCATGCACCCCCACAGGAAGGGGTGGCGCGCTCGGAACCCGAACACCCCGTTACTAGAGTACTGAGAAGCCTGTGCCGCCAGAAAGTTCTCCTCGGGGATGGGCCTGATGGAGATGACGTCAGTGTCCATGTAGATGCCGCCGTATTTCCAGATGACGGCCAGGCGGGCCGCGTCTGAGCTGACGTGGAGCCAGTTTCTCTCTGCACTGACGTTGACCTGCAGGAACAGGTGCCAATCAGGGAAGGGGGAGGGGTGTCACAGCAGGAGGCCAAGGCCAGAGTAGCCCAGAGGGATCAGGCAAGCCACCCTCCCCAAATCTATTAATATTTGCTCATGTATCAAACTTTTTTATTTTAGAGGTTTTTGCTATAGGGCGCGTGCACTCGCCAGAAAGACAGAGAGACAGAAAGCAAGCACACACACACACACACACACACACACAAGGGAGATGGCCACACTGCAATCCCTTCTCTTTCATTCTCCTCTCAGGATCCTGGGCACGCACACACACGTGCCTGGCGTGAGTTTAAGCCACCAGGTCCAGGACTCGAACCACGGTTGACTACATGGGAGTTCAGCGACATAGCCATTACACTAACTGCTGGTCCCTGTACCAAACTTTTTTTAGGCCTCACTTTGATAATTTATCTAACTTCCCTCCTCCTCCAAAATGTTTTCTTAAGTTAAAAGTTTGGGGCCCAGCAGTTGGCATAATGGCTACATCACTGGACTCCCATGTAGTAGACCGTGGTTTGAGTCCTAGACCTGGTGGCTTAAACTTACATCAGGCAAGTGTGTGTGTGCCCAAGATCCCGAGAGGAGAATGGAGGAGAAGGGATTGCGGCGTGACCATCCCCTCTGAGGGGTGATTTCTCGCTTTCTGTCTC